TCCCTACAAACAGAAAGCACTGAGTTGGATAGACAATAGGTATGTCTTTTTTTTCTTTTTTTGGAGAGATTTTCGCTATAGGGTGCGTGCGCTTGCCAGACAGACAGAGAGAGACAGAGAGACAGAAAGCGAGAAATCACCCCCCAAGGGGGATGGTCACGCCGCAATCCCTTCTCCTCCATTCTCCTCTCAGGATCTTGGGCATGCACGCACACGTGCCCGGCGTGAGTTTTAAGCCACCGGGTCCGGGACGCGAACCACGGCAGACTACGTGGGAGTCCAGAGACATAGCCATTATGCTAACTGCTGGTTCCCGACAATAGGTATGTCTTTAGCAAAGACCTACTAATGGCAGTCCCCTGCCAGTGGAGGTACTACTCCTTTTCCTGTGAGACCCACCCCTTGGACCATTGATGTCTGGAACCCAGGTTCCCTGGAGGGAAGTCCCCTGGCCAGGACAGCATAACCACTGGAGCCCAGGGCAACCTACCAGAGCTGCTCCCTGCAGGCCTGACAGGACCTGGGGAGTGGCCTGTCCCTACCTCCACACATGCACTGGGCCTGTCTCCAGGTCCAGCCCCTCCCTCCTGCTCCTCCCACTCACCTATGCGAGGTGCGCATGTCCACGGGCCCATCGCCAGCCTGCCCGTCGCCTCTGCTCTCAGCTGGGGCCTCTGCTGTCCTCAGCAATCCTTGGGTTGAGCCTGCCCCAGGCTCAGGTGTCACCCTCATGTCTCCGTCAGTATTTAAGTCTGAAGCCAACAATCCTCTCTCCATCTTTATTTTTTTAATGTCCGCATCGTCCTCTGTCGGGTCTCGTTCAAGTGCTCGTTTCTGACTCCGTGTTCGGCATGCTTCTTCAGTCATTCTGAAGTTTGGGGAAAAAAGAGATAACATTTTAAGTGGACTCGGTGAAGTTGCTACATTCTCAGAAACTTTTTTGGGATGCAGTGTTCTCCTTGCTGTGTGACAATAGAAGTAGGTACAACAAACACATTTCTTCATTGCCTTGGGGAAGGCCAGGGCCGGAGCGGAGGCCTCCCCTGTGTGTCAGAGCACTTGAGCTGAGCTGTGCCCTGCCCTATCACAGGCCTGTGGGGACCCAGACAGGACGATGGGAAGTGGCTGCTTATCAGAGAAGAATTCTGCACACTTTTCTGCACATTCTGGACTCTAGAGCCCACAGGGGAAACTGTTCTGGATCTGAACTACCTGCTATAGACCCTAAGCACCTTCACCGGCTTGGCAGTGGCTCAGATGCTGGAAGGGGCTGATCCCACGGTCTCAGGAGCAAGGTCCGGTTCAGGTCCAACCCTGCACTGTGATGACTCAGGTTGACCCCTGGCTTCTCTCCTTCAGTGAAAGGAAGTCCCCTTACTCCCTGCTCACCTCCAAGGGGCGGGTGTGTGTGTGTGGGGGGTGGGTGTCACGTTTAACCCTTTGGTTGCCAGCAAGGTACACTTTGAGGAGAGTGAGGCCTGGCCTGGTCTGTCAACGTGTCACCGCCCTGTACCTGCGGCACACACATATCTTGATTTAAAGAAGAAAGAAAAAGAAGGAAAAAAAACAGCTGAGTCAGTTTTTGATCCCATGACATCACTGGGCTCCACATGACCCTTCCCAGGATTCAGTCTGAGAGACAAAGCACTTTCCAGAAAACCAGTCTGAACCGGTTCCAGACAACAAGCTGAAGTGTTGTTAACCCTCACGGAGACAGGACAGCACAGCCATGTCTGTCTGCGGGGAGGCGGCTGGCATTCCACAGCAGGGTCCAGACAAGAGCACTCTTAAAGGGGCCGCTCCGAGCCCTGGCCTCGACGTTCAACAGGCCAGGACACAAAACCAAGTCTGAAAGAATCGGGGTCTTAGAAAACCACCCTGGAGTTCACCAGAGGACAAAAAAGAAATTTAGCTGCTGAGCTCTAGTTGAAATTCCCAAAGTGTCATAGTTTCCCACAAGACAGTCGGGGTCCACTGTGTATGAGTCCAACAGAGAACCTGATTCACACCTGTGGCATGCTCTATGCTGAAGCCTTCCGGTTCTATCTGTGTGCTCGCAGCCAGAGCACCCATCTTTCTGGTGCCTCCACTTCCTCTCTGGTAAACACCCTGAGGAGGCCTGTTCTGGGCAAGGTAGAGTAGACTCAGTCCCAAGGCCACCTTCTGGGAGGTGAGGGCAGCGCAAGACAAGGAAGGGACCCTGTCACCACATATGGGACACATCGTGAGCTGGCTGCTTCCTTGCGATCTCTTTCAAGGAGTGATTTCGCAAATGAGCAATAGTGCTGGGCCCTGCTTGAATTCCCCCTTCTATGGACTTAGACTGAAAGTAAAGGATGCACCCGCTGCTTCACACTCCTGAGCAGAAGAAGCATGGGTCGTCTGCTCAGGCTCAGGTCAGCACGGCCAGTCAGGGCACCCAGGCATCTGCTCTAACAAGTGGTCCACCCAAAAGGAGCAAACCGAGCAAGTCTCTTCATGGCCACATCACCCCTGGGGTACCCCCCACAGGCCTGGGGAAGCTGTGCTCCTTGCCCAGTCTGGATAGAAGTAGGGCCCAATAACTTCTTTCTTTCAATACTACCCGGATGACAAGGTCTAGCCCTAACATGAGCTGGGGGTTGGGGGGGGCAAGCGCCTTGATAGCATAGGCTCTTAGACTTCGACTCTACCTGCCCCCCTCTATCCTCTCCTGGTGTCCAGTTCACACCCACCACCCACCCTCCACCAAATACACGTCCCCCAGCCGCCCCCGGGGCCTGCCTCTCTGCACCTGCCCAGTCCCTCCTCAGCTGGCAGCTGCTTTACTTCTGTGTGTGGAGGTCTCCTCACTGCCCAACAGGAAGGTGACAGGACCGTCTTAGCCATGAAGTTCTGTGGTTTCTAACATCTCTAGACTGCCAATCCTGTCTGACCTGCTCCCTGACTGTCCTGTCTCCCCATGAGACCGCAGACAAGTCACTGCCCTCAGAGGGTTGGTCACCAACCCCTCTCCAACCCTCTTTCACAGGGGAGGGGCAGGTCATCTCTCCTAGCATGAGGCAGGAGCTCCTCAGATGTTGTAGGAATTTGCTGAGAAGTAGTTTTTGGGTTTGGTGGCTAACTTCATAGCAGAGACACGCACTCCCTGGCCCAGGGCTAGGGTGGAGCCTGCCTAGGTGAGGGGAGACCAGGATCTCAGTGGAGGAGGACACCACTTGAGTTGGGGTGGGGGGGCCAGGAATTGGTTGCTAAGAGAGAAGCTCCCAATCTGGCTTGGTTTCTACTGTGGGGGGGTCCTCAGGGAAGACAGGGAGAATGTACCTGCACCACCACTCAAACAGGTTGCCCCTTCCCTGTGACCCACCTCTGCTCCAGACAGGCAGGGCCCCCCCAAGCACAGCATCTGGCACTGCAGGCACTGAGCTCTGTTTCACAAAGCTCACCAGAATCCGAGACTACGTGAAGCCCTTCCAAATGCTCACACGGATGGGGATAAGGCAGCACTGGTGACCACACTGACCAGGCCAGTGTGTTACTGGTGCAAGACAAGAGGCTTCCCAGCGGCTCGGGGGAGCCAGGACAGAGCAGGGCCGTGCCATCCACAAGTCTGCTCCCTCCAGCCCCAGGGACTCCTGACCTAGACCCCCAGTTCTGATGGTTTGCTGGGGGCTCCGACAGAGGGCCTGAGAGTCTGCCGGCGCATGCTGGCTACACGCAGTGTCAGGGCAGCTCACTATGAAGCCAGAGGCCTGGAACTCTGCCAACCCCAGGCTCAGAACTGATGGTTGGCCTCACAGCACCCGCCCACCCTGTGCCTCTGAGGCAGGCAGCTGGGGGAGCCTGCTGCACCCTTCCCCCATCTCAGGAAAGACAAGCACAGCTGGAGGGGGCGGGCCCAGCCATGTGAGAGGGCACAGCTCAGCGAACTCCCTGGGGTTGCAGCCTCCTCTACAGCCACTCAGGTTGACCTGAGGCCTGTTGACCAATCCCCAGTCATCACAGGGCATCTGCTCCAGGGTAGAGCAGGTTACCAGAGCTGGTAGCCACCACACTGTGGGCGAAACCCAGGGACGACGCCAGAGCTGTCAGGAAGAAACTAGCCTTCAGGAATGAAGAGTGACAGAAGACTTCAGCAGAGAGCAGTGAAGCCTCTGCAGAGGGTTAGAACACTTCCTTAGAAGCCACATGGGCCCTGCCGGCCAATTAGGCAACTAAGATTCATTTCAAAGTTCTGCAGGAGAGGAGAAGGGCACTGGGGAAAGCAGCTCCAGCCACAGAAGTTCCACCACGAGCTCATCAGGAACTGCCAGCCTCCACACAACCCCCTTTTATGGAGGCTGAATCCTGGCAGTGGTGTGCCTATTTTAAAGATGAGGGTGCTAAGGTCACCAGGGCTGGAACCCCATCAGCCTCAGCTGCTCCTTCTCATTCTCTCCAATCACCCCAGACTGAACAGCCTGGAGAACTAGTACTGCCTCTTCTGAGGTGAAGATGGGCAGGGAGATGTAGGGACACAGTCCAGGTCTTCCTCAGCTGAGAACCAAGACCGCAGCAGGTTCTGGCCAAGCTAAAGGCACCTGAGCCTCAACCAGCCTCAGGACCATGGGGCCAGGCCACCAAGTACTGGCAGGGCTTTGGGGTAGATGCAAATTTCAGTAACCTCTCCCAAAATGCTGCTTGTTTCAAAGGCCCCCAGCCAACTGGTCTGAGGACCCTGGGCAGAAAACACATTCTAAAATAATTCCAAAATACTGAATGACACTGCAGCAGAAAGCAGAATTTTAAAAGCACAGGGCAGGCATACTGAATCCTTAAAGGCTTGATAACTTGAAAGTGTGTGTGTGTGTGTGTGTGTGTGTGTGTGTGTGTGTATGCATGTAGTAAATAAACAAGTCATATGGCCCAAATGCTGAGGATTTTTTTTTTTTTTTTTGGTGGGGGAGATGGAGATTTTTGCTATAGGGCACGTGCACTTACCAGGAAGACAAAAACAGACAGAGAGAAAGAGAGAAACCACCCCCCAGGGGGGATGGCCATACCACAATTCCTTCTCCTCCATTCTCCTCTCAGGATCTTGGGCACACATGCATACACGCCCAGTGTGAGTTTAAGCCACCAGGTCTGGGATTCGAACCGCAGTGGACTACATGGGAGTCCAGCAACATAGCCACTATGCCAACTGCTGGTCCCCACTGAGGTATTCTTACCAGTACTATTACTATTATTATACTCTAACATGCTCCCCATATCACACTACACTAGTAGTAATGCGAGGGACACTCCTCTTTCAAACATGAACAGGCTCTCTGACAAGGAGTTAGATTCCTGGCAGAAAACAGAAGTGATGGTCTGAAGAGTGGACTTAAAGTGCTTTTTCCTAACTCCTCACCCAGAAACAACTCCCTGAGCCTCTCCTATGGCCTGGGACTGCCACAGGCACCTGAGACTCAAAGGTGATGCTGGGGAAAGCACAGCTGAGGAAGGAGTGACATGACTGAGGAGGAGTCAGGTGCTGTGCTGTGGGGAAAGAAGGCAGAGCACAGGCGGTCAGTGAGCAGAGGGCCAGGGGTCGGGTAGAAAGGGGTGGTCAGGAACACAGGTGTCCAAGGGAGCCACAAAGGCACGTAGGAGTTTTCAAGGAAGTGGGTGGTGGGGCAGAGCACCCCACCCATGACCTAGCCTTTCACCTCAGGGAAGCACTTCCTCTTAAGGATCATCTGGCTAGAGAACAGATGAGGTGAAGATCAGAGGGGAACGGGTGCGGAGGGGCCAGTTCAGCTATGGGCAGCTCAGCCCAGGAATGGGATCCAGAGCAGTGGGGAGATGAGCCGACTAAATGCTAGATGCAAGGAGAGGGAGGGTTGCTTTGCTGCTTTGTTCACACCT